ACCTTAGCCCTGGCTTGCCTCGGCCCTGAGCTTGTCTAACCTTACCTTTTCTCAAGGTCTGATCCTGCCATGTCCCCAGCATTGCTCTGGTTTTTCCCCATGTCTGGACCTCTCCTGGCCCCGTCATGTCCCTAGCTGTGACCCTGCCCTTGTTTATTCCCTAACCATGACCCAGCCCCAGTTTGCCCTCATCCAGTCCTGACTAGGCATTGCTCTACCCACTTCCCTGGCCCTACCCTATCCTTGTCTTGGCCATGTGATACCCTGTACCTTCCCTGTACTTGTGCTTGCCATGGTTTGATTCTGGCCCTGCTGCTCCTGCTGACTCTGGTCCTGTCATGGCACCCAGCCTGCCAGTGGTCACTGGCCTGGTCCTGTTCTGGCCCTGACCTGGACGTGGACATGTCTTGAGCCTGATTTGTCCCAGCCATTCCTGGACCTGTCTCTGCCCTAGTCTATCAAGGCCCTGCATATACTGCCCTTTCCTGGAACTTCCATGGCCCAGGTATGGCATTACCTTGTTTTACACTGCACTGGTTATGCCTCTGCCCTGCCCAGACACATAACGACTCCCTGGATGTGCACTGACCCTGCCTAGGCTTTGCCCTCTCCCATCTATGACCTGTCTCTGGTCCTGCCCTGTCATGGTTCTGCCCTTATTTAGCTGGGGGCCTGACCCTGCCATACCTCTGGCCCCCTGTCCTTCATCCAGGTCTTGACCCTACCTTCCCTTTCCCCAGCCCTGTCTGGATCTTCCCTTTCTCTTCTGTGCCTTTGCACACCCTGGCCTTTCCCTAACCTTGCACTGATCCTGCACTGGCCCTCTCTGACTTGGCATAGCCCTAGTCCTGTCCTGGTCTGACCCTGACACTATACTGGCTACACAATACCCTGGCCCAGTGCTTGTCCTGGCCCTGTTCCTACTCTTGCCCTTGCTTGGCTCTGCCCTGGCTCTATCCTAGCCTTGGCCTATGCTGTCCCTTCCTTTGCTTTGTCCTGGTCCTCATTCTGCCCTAGCCCTGCCCCTGCTCTGGACTTTCCCTGGTCCTGCCTTCTCTGTGGCCCTACCCTTGCTCCGGCCCTTGTCCTGGCCCTGTGTTGTCTTAGTCCTACCCTGGCCCTGATTTCACCATGGTCCTTGTCTCACCTCTTTGCCCAGCCCTGCTTTGGCCCTTACTTGGTCCCTAAACCAGATGTGGTCCCAGCCCTGACCACTGGTCCTGACCCTGGTCCTGCTGTTTCTTTTCCTTGTTCCTGAAATTGCCCGTTCCTGGTGCTGGTCCCAAGCCTGGCCCATCCCTGGAGCTCCTATGAGCATGGTCGGGAACCTGTCCCTTCATTGTACCAGGCCTGCCTTTGTTCTGTGCTAGCCTGGCCTGATTCTGCTCTGTCACAGCACTGATCTGGCCCTGCCATAGCCTAGCACTACCACTGCCCTCCTAACCCTACCCTAGTTGTGTCCTGGCCCTGAATCTCCTTCTTCCTTCCTTGATCTTGTCTTTGATGTAACCCTGACTCAGCCCTATCACTAGGATTCACTATCACTCTGCACTACCCTATTCCTGCCCTGTTCTGAACTGGTCCTGACCTTTCCCTGGCTCTGGCCCTGCCCTCGCACAGTCCTGACTGGGCACTGCCACTTTCGTTGCCCTGCCCTGCCAATAGGAAGATTCTGACCTGGTCCTGGTCCTATCCACACCAGGCAATGGTCTTTACCCTACCACTCATTCAGCCATAGTGCTGACAAGGAGTTGGTCCTTGTCCGGCCCTTCCTCTTGCCTTGCCCTGATTCTGTCCCTGGCAATGCTTTCATCCCTGCCCAGCACTGGCACTACCTGACCTGGTCTTTCCTTGGCCCACTGCTGCAATGGCTCTGCCACATCCTAGCCCTGATTCTTTCTGGGAGCAGCTATGAAGGTGGCTTTGGCATTCAGCCTGGCACTGCCCCTGCCCTGGACTCTGGCCCTGCAGTGCCCTACCCTAATCTGGCCCCACTCTGGCCCTATATTGGCCATGTGCTATCCTGTCCCTTTCCTGGACATGCACTGGCCTTGACCCTGTCCCTCGTCCTGACTCTGGTCCTGCCATGGCCCCTGGCCTTCCAATGGTTATGGTCCTGGTCCCCTTCTGGTCCTGACCTGGTCTTGGACATGTCCAGGACTTGATTTATCCTGATCCTGCCTTGTCTTGTTTTTGCCCTTGACTCACCAAGGTCCTGCCTGTTCTGCCCTTTCCTGGCACTGCCATAGCCCAGTCATGCCATTACCCAGTCTTGCCCTACACTGGTTGTACCCTGGTTCTGGCCTGCCCTAGCCCCTTCCTGGATTTGCCCTGACCCTGATGTGGCTTTTCCCCTGCCCTCTCTATGGTCAGGCTCTAGCCCTGTCTTGCCCATCCCTGCAATGGTGCTACTCTGTCCTTATCCAGATCCTAAGCCTGCCCTGGTCTGGACCCTGGCCCTTCCCTTGCTCTTCCTTGTCCCACCATGTCCTGGTCTTGCCCTCACCCTACACTGGCCCTTCATCGGCCCTCTCTGCATTGGCCTGACCCTGTCCCTGAGTGTGCCTTCTCCCTGGCCTTGCCTTGGCTCTACTCTGTCATCCTCTAACCTGGGCCTGTATTTGCCCCACCATACCCTGGCCCAGTGCTTGCCCTGGCCCTGTTCCTAGGCCTGCCCCTGCTATGACCATTCCCTGCTTTTGGCAATACCCTGTGCTACCTTACTACTGCTCTGCCCGGGCCCTATCCTGCCCTGACCCAACTCTGACTGGGCACTGCACTACTCTGGTCCTGCCCTGCCCAACCCTATCCATGTCCAGGATCTGCTCTGGCCCTGTCTCTGGTCCTACCATGGCTCTGACCCTGCCACCAGTCCTGACATAGTCCTGACCCTGACTTGTCCCTGTCCTACTCTGGCCTTTCTTTGGCCCTGTGCTACACTGGCCCAGCCCCAGCATGCACTGCCTCTTCCCTGGAACTGGGCTGGCCATGCCTTCATCTGACCCTGATTTTTGTCCTGACCTTGGTCCTGACATGACCCCAGGCTGTCAGAGGTCATAGTCCTGGTCCTGTTGTGACCGTGACCTGGACTTGGACATTTCATGTGCCTGATGGGTCCCGTCCTTGCCATGGCCCATCCTTTCCCTGTCCCCACCATGGCCTTGCCTGCTCTGCTCTCTTCCAGGACTGACCTGGCCCTGCATTAGCCTAGTCATGTAATTTCCCTGGCTTACCCTTCCCTGGTTATGTCCTGGCCCTGGTCCCTCCCTATACCTGCCCTAACCCTGCCTTGGCTATTCTCTACCCTCTCTATGGACTGGCTCTGGACCTGCCCCGCCATGGTTCTGCCCCATCATTGCCATATCCCTGACCCTATCACTGCCCTTATGCTGACCTTGACCCTTCCCTGGTCCCTGGCCCTTCCAAGGACCTGTCATGACTCTGCCAAGGCCCTAGGCCTGGTTTGTCCTAGTATAGCCCTTGTCTTAAACCGCCCTTCCCTGACATGTCCTGTCTCTGTCCTCAGCCCCCAGACCCTGCCATTGTCCCTTAACCTAGCCTTTACTAGGCCCTGCTCTGGACCTGACCCTGGTCCTATACTTTGGCCTGGTATTACCCTGGTTTTGCCCTGTCATGAACAGGACTTGGAGGTATCCAGGTGCTGAATTGACCTGGTTCGGCCTTGGATTGTCCCTGTCCTGGCTCTACCATCATCCTGCCCTGTTCTGCCCTGTCTTGGCACTGAAATGGCCCTGCAACAGCCCAGTTATGCCAATGCCCTGTCCTACACTTTCCTGGCTCTTCCCTGGTCCTGGTCCTGCCCTCGATATGCCTTGACCCTTTCTCAGCCCTGGTACGAGCTGGCACTAGCCTGACTCTACCTTGACATTGGTCCTGTTTTGTCTATGAACCAGCTCTGTTCCTGATCCACCATGACCCTGCTCTGTCACAGCCCTGTCAAAAACTCTGTCTTTACTGAAAATGTAAAACTTAGCTGGGTGTGGTGGCAGGCACCTGTAATCCCAGCTACTCAGGAGGCTAGCACAAGAAAATTGCTTGAAGCCGGGAGGCAGAAGTTGCAGTGAGCTGAGATTGTGCCACTGCACTCCAGCCTTGGCAGTAAGAGTAAGACTCTTTCTTTTACAAAAAAAAAAAGATTTAATGTGCAAAATAATTCCTGGCCCTGACCCTGGCCCTTATCCTGCTCAGGTCCTTCCCTAGCCTTGCCCCTCTGTTATGGCCCTGACCTGACCCTAACCTAGACCCATCCCTGGCCTTTCCCTGCTTAAGGCCTTACCTGGTTCTGTCCTGGTCCTGACCCTGTCCTGACCCTGAAATGCCTGGAATTACCCTGGTCTTGCACTACTCTGGCCCTGACCCTGGCTGTCACTGTCCTAGACCCAGCCCTGTTGCTGGTGCTGCTATGGCCCTGACCACTTCCCTGGACTCTTGCCATGCCATGAAGCTGCACTGTCCTTACCCTTGTTCTGGCACTGCCCTGGCCATTCTCTGTCCTTTCCCTTGCCTTGGCATCACCCTGGCCCTGCTCTGCCTGCCTTGTCTCTGTCTAGGCCACACCCTAGGTTTGACCCTGCCCTGGCTGTCACCCTAGACTTGGTTGGGTCCTGTCTTGGACCTGGCCATAGTACAGACCCAGCAATTTGGGAAGCTGAGGCAGGTGGATCATCTGAGCTCAGGAGTTCAAGACCAGCCTGACCAACATGGTGAAACTCTGTCTTTACGGAAAATGTAAAACTTAGCTGGGTGTGGTGGCAGGCACCTGTAATCCCAGCTACTCAGGAGGCTAGCACAAGAAAATTGCCTGAAGCCAGGAGGCAGAGGTTGCAGTGACTGAGATTGTGCCACTGCACTCCAGCCTTGGCAGTAAGAGTAAAACTCCATCTTTTACAAAAAAAAAGATTTAATGTGCAAAATAATTTCAAATGTCTAAAGTTGAGTGTTCTGAGCAGTAAGCTTTGATTCCTGAAAAACGTACTTACCAGAACATTCTTCAGTGATGCCCAAAAAGTGAGGTGTGTCTGCTCTGCAGAGATGAGTCAGGAGTAGTGAAGAAGCAGGTGGCTTGTCAACTCTGCCCACCAGAAACGATGCTCAGCAGGGTTTAGCAACAGTAGTCTCCCCTGTGAACCCACAAGGTAAAGTCTAGGAGGAAACCAGAAAGGAGTTAGCCAAGTTACAAAAGAAGGTCTGAGGCTGGGCGGCCCCATGGGAAGGAAAATGCCAGAAACATAGAAGCTCTGGTCGCAGTGTTCTCATGAGGATTTTTATTAAAAAGAAGCTTTGGCAGCCATCCCAGAGCAACCTCATGAGGAGATATTGGGGTCACAGAGCTGCCTGGCAGTTTTGGAGTTATGCACGGACCTGGAGAAGCTGAAGTCCAGGGGGCCACCTGCATCTGCATGGCAGTAATCAAGTCTATCACTTATTCTCCTCTCCCTCCAAACTGTCACTGCAAGATCCCACTATGCCACTTACTAGCTGTGTGACTTTAGGCAAGTTACTAAACATTTCTGAGCCTTAGTAAATGGTAGGTAATATTGTTTATTGTTATTAAAAGTGGTTAAATCTTTACAGGGTCATGCACAACCATAAGCAGGTAGCACTGGGAGAGGCAAACATTTCTTATGACACGTTAGATGGTAAATATTTTAGACACCGTAAGCCAAACAGCATTATATATATGTATATATTTCATACATACATAACTACAGGCATTCAGACAGTGGCTCTCTCAACAATGGCAATGCCTTTCTGGCCAAGACTGGATTGATCAGTGGTTCTTATGCCACATTTTCATGTGAAGTGTTGAAGGCTGCTGTCTTCTCTGTCCTGTTATTACACAACATTGAGTGGGCCCACTCTGGCCACACTCCTGGAACCTCACCACCGGAACCAGGAAGTAAGAGGTCAGGGTCCTCTCCTTCCCTGAAGTTCTAGCTGCAGCCCCAACTCTGGGTTCACCCTGGAGCCCTGTGTTGGTGCATTCCTAGGTCAGGGAAGGCTACACTCTGCCCCCCACATGACACCTGGGGATAGTGAGATAAACCAGATGTGTCAGTGGCCAGAGAGAAGGGCAGCAGCTAGTGTGGCCACTTGCTGGGGCCTCCACTGCTTCCCTTGGCTGGTGTGGAGAGAATGATAGAAAAATAAGAAACATACAACAGACCAATTATGGGTAATGCAATTAAAGTAGTAATAAAAAGTCTCCCATTAAAGAAAAGCACAAGAATCAGGGTTTTACTACTGAATTCAATGAAACGTTTTTAAAAGAGCTAATACCAAATATACTCAAAATATTCCCCCAAAAATAAAGAGGAAGGAACACTTCCAAACTTGTCCTATGAGGCCAGCCCTGGTACAAAAACCAGACCAAAACACAACACAAAAAAGCAAACCACAGGCAAATATCCCTGATAAACACAGATGCAAAAAATCCTCAACCAACTATTTGAAAACTGCATTTGACAAGACAATAAGCAGATCATCTGCCATGATTTAGCGGGATTCATCTGAGAAATATGAGGGTAATTCAATAAACCCAAATAAGTAAATGTGCCACATCACATTCAGTAAATCAAGAAAAAATATATCATTTCAGTAATGCTGAAAAAAAATAAAATTCAACATTCCTTCATAATTCAAGAAAGCTGTTTCATTACTTCTACCACCCAAAAAAAACCTAAACATAACAAAAAAGTTGGAAGATCCCGCAATGAAAATTATAAAAGAGACAAGATATCAAAACAGACACGTGTAAATGGAAAGATCGCCCATGTCCAAGCACTAGAACAATACATTAAAATATCTATCACCCAATGTGATCTGCAGAATCAATGCAATCCATGTGAAATTACATAAGACATTCTTCATGGAAACAGAAAAAAAATCCTAAAATTCACACAGAAATGCAAAATATCTCAGATAGATAAAAGAATCACGAACAAAAAGAAAAAAGCTGAAAACATCACAATACCTGATTTTAAAATGTATTATAAATCTTTAGTAACAAAAACAGCATGGTACTGGCCATAAAAGTGGCAAGGGACAGACAGAGACACACAGACATAGCGGAATGACAGACATATACAAATGAAACAGAATAGAGAACTCAGAAATAAATTCATGCATTTACAGTCAACTCATTTTTAGCAAAGGCACCAAAAACACACCCTTGGAGCAGACAGTCTTCAATAAACTGTGCTAGGAAAACACAACACATACATAATAAACCGTCAAGAATAAATCTAGACCGTTATCTTACCAAATACAAAAATCTACTCAAAACAAAGATTTAAATGTAGGACCTGCGACTATGAAACTACTAGAGAAGAAAACAGTATAAATCCCTCATGAAATTGGTTAGGACAAGGGATTTTCAAATACACATCAAAAGCACAAGCAACAAAAGCAAAAAGCATCAAATGCAATTGCATTAAACATAGAAGCTTCTGCAAAGTGGAGGAAGCAATCGGAATGAAGAAAATTCAGAATACGGAAGAATTTGCAAACTATGCCATCAGGCAAGCGGCTAATACAGAAAACATATAAAGAATTCAAACTTTTCCAAAGCAAAAAATGCAAATAACCTTATTTAAAAATCAGAAAAAGATCTACCCAAACCCTTTGTCCCCCAGCATTATTTTTCCATCTTCTTTTCCCAACAGCCTTTGGCCCCTCCCTCTCACCAGCCTTTTTCTTTCTCCATCTACCCCAAAACTTTTTCCACATTTTTCCCCACTGTCATTTCACAAAGACTTCTCTACTCTCTTGCTCACTACAGTTTTCCCCACCCATCTACCCCAAAACTTTTCTACACCGTTTTCCCCCACTGTGCTTTCTTCCTTTCTTTCCTACCCTCTTCCCTGCCTCACTCTCATCCCATTTGCTCCTCTATCTACACAAAAACATTTCCCTCATCTTTTACCAAAGCCTTCTCACCACTCCTGCTCAGCACCCTCTTTCCCCCTTCATCTTCCCAAAACTGCCCCATCGTCTTTTTCTCCTTTCCTTCTTGCCACCCTCTTTCCCTTCTCCACCTATCCCAAAACATTTCCTCACCATCTTTTTTGCAAAGCCTTCCCCACTTCCCACTCACCCTCTTCTTCCCCTTATCCTGCTTGCCATGTCTTTTGCCCTCTATGCTATTTTTCCCATCTACTTTTTCCCATCCCTCTTTCTGCACTCCCTCTGGCCACCCCCTCTTTTCTCTTCCCACTCGCCACCCTCTTCCCCCTCCATCTATCCACTTTATCCACTGTCTTTTCTTTCTGCACCGTCTTTCTTTCCTGCCCATTGCCTATTCGCAAAACCTTTTCTCCTTCTCACTCACCACCCTCTTTTCCCTCTTCATCCACCTAAAACATTTTCTCCCCTTCTTTTCGCAAAACCTTCTCTCCCTCCTGCTTGCCCACTTTCTCTTCCCCCTCCCTCTTTGCATCACCTTTCCTTCTCCCACTTGTCCCCCTCTTCCCTTCTGCATCTGCCCAAAATCTTTTTACCCACCGTCTTCTTTCCTCCCGTATTTTTTCAGACCTTCTCTCCCTCTTCCTCGCCCCCTGCTTCCCCCCTCACCATCCTCTCATTCCTCCTCTCACTTGCCACTCCATTTTCCCCTTCCATCTACCCAAAAACGTTTCCCCACCATCTTTTCACAAAAGCTTCTCTCCCTCTTCCTCATCCCCTGCTTCTCCCCTCACCATCCTCTCATTCCTCCTCTCACTTGCCACTCTATTTTTCCCTTCCATCTACCCCAAAATAGTTTTCCCACCATCTTTTCCTCACCGTCTTTTTTCAACACCTTATCCTGTTCGCCATCCTCTTTGTCCCTTTGGCAATAACCACCCTCCTTAGCCCTCCCACCTTGCCCCAAACTTGTTTCCCCTCCTACCGCTCCAGGGGCATGCGTTCGTGGCTACCGCCAACCACAGTGAGGTGAGCTGCAGCAAGGCGAACCGCAGTACTGCAGACTCCAGCTTCCAGCAGGCAGCAGCTGGCTCTCCCGTCTTCTACTCCTCTAAGCCCAGCACCGAGGAGCACAGCCGATGGACACAGAAAAGCCTGGAATGGAGTGCCTGCCCAACAGAGCCATTTATATACTGAGGTTATGCACAGAGGTTCCTGAACTACACAGTCTCATTGGATGAAAACAAGTCTGAGGACAACCAATCAGAGCATGAAAATAAAACGCAATCAGAGTAGGCCTAAAGGTTTCCTCTCATCCAATCAGAACATGTAGTCCAGGAACCATGGGCGAAAACCTCAGTATATAAGGCATGCATATCTTCTTGCGGAGCCACTGTGTTCCCGGCTTGGAGAACCAGGAGAAGGGGTGGCGGAGCCACCTACTGCTCGCTGGAGGCTGCAGCCTGCGGTACCGTGGCTGGCCTCGCTGCAATGGGTGGTGGTGATGGAAACTGCAGCGGCTGGAGTGGTAGGAGGGCAGCCGGAGCGGTAGGGGAGTGGGCTGCAGCGGTAGGAGGGAGGCCGGAGCAGTAGGGGAGTGGGCTGCAGCAGTAGGAGGGCGGCCGGAGCGGTAGGGGAGCGGGCTGGAGCGGTAGGAGGGCGGCCCCAGCGGTAGGGGAGCGGGCTGGAGTAGTAGGAGGGCTGCCGGAGTCGTAGGGGAGCGGGCTAGAGCTGTAGGAGGGCGGCCAGAATGGTAGGGGAGCGGTCTGCAGCGGTAGGAGGGCGGCCGGAGGGGTAGGGGAGTGGGCTGGAGGGGTAGGAGTGCGGCTGGAGCGGTAGGGGAGCTGGCTGGAGCAGTAGGAGTGCGGCAGGAGCGGTAGGGGAGCAGCCTAGAGGAGTAGGAGGGTGGCCGGAGTGGTAGGAGGGTGGCTGGTGTCGTAGGGGAGTGAGCTGGAGCGGTAGGAGGGTCACCAGAGTCGTAGGGGAGTGAGCTGGAGCGGTCGGAGGGTCGCCAGAGTCATAGGGGAGTGAGCTGGAGTGGTAGGGGAGTTGGCTGGAGCAGTAGGAGTGCAGCCGGAGCGGTAGGAGAGCGGGCTGGAGTGGTAGGAGGGTGGCCAGAGCGGTAGGGGAGAGGGCTGGAGTGGTAGGAGGGGGTCAGAGCACTAGAAGGGCGTTTGGAGTTGTAGCGGAGCGGGCTGGAGCGGTAGGAAGGCGGCTGGCCGGAGTGGTAGGAGGGTGGCCGCAGTCGAAGGGGAGCGAGCTGGAGCGGTAGGAGGGTGGCCCGAGCGGTAGGGGAGCGGGCTGGAGCGGTAGGAGGGTGGCCGGAGCGGTAGGGGAGCGGGCTGGAGTGGTAGGAGGGCGGCCGGGGTGTTAGGGGATCAGGCTGGAGCGATAGCTCGAAGGTGCAGGGCTTTCAGAACAGGATTTCTGGGAGCAGCCCCTCGATGCTTATGGGGCAGGGGTTACTCTTATCACTTGTAGGGCACTTGGACCGGGTACCTGATGCCCAAGGCTTCCCCTGTGGGTGAGAGGCAGGGTCCTGCTGGTCGGCAGTGAGAGCCAGTGTGGGGCGTGTGTACATAGGATTTCACGCATGTGATGGAAAGGCATCCATGCAGAAGAGTGAACGATGCGAAAGTGTTGTAGCACCGTGGAAACGTATAGGCATTACATTCTGAGCTATTTGATCAGAAAATAAAACAATAGGCCAGCAGGGTGGCTCATGCCTGTAATCCCAGCATTTTGGGAGGCCAAGGCGGGAGGACCACTTGAGTCTAAGACTTTGAGTTCAGCCTGGGGGACATAGCAAGACTCTGTCTCTCCTAAGAATTTCTTTTAAAAAGTTGGGCATGGTGGTGCATGCCTGTGGTTCCAGCCACTTGGGAGGCTGAGGATTGCTTGAGCCCAGGAGTTTGATGCTATAGTGAACCATGATCACACCACTGCACTCGAGCATGGGTGACAGAGAGACTGTCTGAAAAGAAAAAAGAAAGAAAAAGCCACACCAACATGCTACCATGTCCTGTGCTCCTCTTTTTTTTTTTTTTAAGACAGTTTCACTCTGTTGCCCAGGCTAAAATGAAGTAGGGCGATCTCAACTCACTGCAACCTCTGCCTACCAGGTTCAAGCGATTTTCCTGCCTCAGCCTCCTGAGTAGCTGGGATTACAGGTGGCCACCACGACACTCAGCTAATTTTTTGTATTTTTAGTAAAGAGGGAGTTTCATTAAGTTGGCCAGGCTGGTCTTGAACTCCTGATCTCATGATCTGCCCACCTCAGCCTCCAAAAGTGCTGGGATTGTAGGTGTGAGCCACCAAGCCCAGGCTTTTTTTTTTTTTTTTGGATACAGTTTCACTTCTGTTGCTCAGGCTGGAGTGCAATGGTGTGATCTCAGTTCACTGCAACCTCTACTTCCCAGGCTCAAGCAATTCTCCTGCCTCACCCTCCTGAGTATCTGGGACCACAGGAGTGCACCACCGCACCTGGCTAATATATTTGTATTTTTGGTTGAGACGGGGTTTTGCCATGTTGCCCAGGTGCAAGGCTCATGAGTACAGTTCCTGTTTCATTCACCTCAGTATCCCCAGTGCCTGAGACATGCCTGGCATTTAGTAAATCCTCAAGAAATATGTGTAAGGGAGTGAATAGTTTCGGCTGGAAGTGGGAAGCCTCCCACTTCTCTGTCCACAGTGTCTGCGTGTCCCTCCCCCGGGGGTGTTCCACTGCTCACTGTATTTCCTATTGAAAATGTCCTGGACCTGCTCCCTCAGTGTGTGGGTGATGTGGATCTGGGAGAGCCTCATGTTGTAATTTTCTGCAAAGCGTAAAACGACTATGGGTTTGGGCTGTTCAGTGAAAAGGCACTTGGGGAATTTTAAGGAATATGATTTTCTAATTATGGGAAACTCCTTCTCTGGCAATTAATGGATCTTTAGAGTGGGCCCCTCAGGTCCTTCAGCACCAAGGTGTTGATGGAGACATGTTTTTTCCAGAAGGACATGCACTGTCATCGCAACAGTGATCAGCTGGAAATTAATTGCTGACATTTGAAAACCACGAAACCAATACATAAGTCCCAGAGGTGAGGGACACTGTGGAGAGTGGATTCTTGTGCCCCAGGCTGGTGGGTAGGGAACGGGGGCTTTATGAAGTCCCTAGAGAGCTGGAGAAAAGGGAAAGAACACAAGCTCAGCTAACTCAGCAGGTGGCGGGGGACGGGCAGTCCCCACAGACACGGGGTGGGCCTGGCAGCTCCCAGTGGGCACTCACTCACCCAGAGGGTGTTCATTAAAGACCACCAAGTATGGCCAGGAACAGTGGCCTATGCCTGTAATCCCAGCGCTTGGGGAGGCCACGGTAGGAGGATCACCTGAGGTCAGGAGTTGGAGACCAGCCTGGCCAACGTGGTGAAACTAGAAATACAAAAATTAGCTGGACATGGTGCTGTGAACCTGTAATCCCAGCTACTAGGGAGGCTGAGCCAAGACAATTGCTTGAACCCAGGAGGTGGAGGGTGTAGTGAGCCAGGATCATACCCCACATGCCAGCCTGGGCAACAGAGTGAGACTCTATCTCAGGAAAAACAAAAACAAAAGCTGGGTGCAGTGGCTCACACCTGTAATCTCAGCACTTTGGGAGGTGGATCATCTGAAGTCAGGAGTTCAAGACCAACCTGTCCAGCATGGTGAAACCCTGGCTCTACTAAAAAAATATAAAAAATTATCTGGGCTTGGTGGTTCACACCTGTTGTTTCAGCACTTTGAGAGGCTGAGGCAGCAGGATCATGAGGTCAAGAGTTCGAGACCAGTCTGACCAACATGGTGAAACCCTGTCTCTACAAAGAGTACAAAAATTAGCTGGGTGTGGTGGTGGGTACCTGTAATCCCAGCTACTCAGGAGGCTGAAGCAGGAGAGTTGCTTGAATGCTTGAACCTAGAAGGCAGAGGTTGCAATGAGCCGAGATTTTGCCTCCAAACTCCAGCCTGGTCAACAAGAGTGAAACTCTGTCTCAAAATAAGGCAAGTGCCAGCATGTACTGGGGGATCCCGGACTGCCATGAGCCCCTGACTGCAGGGCAGGGAGAAAGAAGGGGAGGAGGGAGTGACTCTGGGCACTTGGGCCAGGCTTGTAGTGAGGGTCTCAGTCCGCTAAGGGGGCTGGGTATGAGGAGCTGTGGTGAGGAGAGTCATGAACTCCCCCAGTCATGGAATGTCCCAGAATAGCTGTGCAGAAAAGAGTATGAGAGACCAGAGGGAGAGAGCAGCTGCTCTCTGGGACTTGGGCCCCTCTCTCTGGGCTCCCCCACCCCCAGTGACTCTTCCCACCACCAGTCTTGTCAACCCCTTTCTCCTCAGTACTAGAGGGTGGCCACACAGTCACCCTCTACTACTCACTTGCAGCCACACCCTGGCTCCTCAGAGCAGCCCCAACATGGGGGCTCCACAGGGCATCACCTGTCTCCCAGCCCAGACCCTGGCACCTTCCTGCTGCTCGATCCTCTTCTTGCCTTTCCTCAAGTGTCTCCCTGCTTCCACTCCTCTCCTTCCTTGCTTACTTCCACCTCCTGCCTCCCAGCCCAGCCCCAACCTTTTCCACCTGACCTTAGTGACACACCCCTCCCTCCCTCTCTCCCTCCCTCCCTTCCTTCCGTGCCTCCCTTCCACTACTTCTCTCCTCTCTTTCTTTCCTTATTTTCTTTTTCCTTTCTTCATTCGTTCCTTTCTCTTTCTTTTTTTCTCCTCCCTTCCCTTCCCCTTCCACTTCCCCTTCTCCTTTCTTCCTTCTTTCTTTCCTTCCCTCCTTCCTTTTTCCTTCCTCCCTCCCTTCCTTTCCCACTTCTCTTCTTTCTTTCTCTTTCCTTCCTTTCTTCCTTTTTCTTTTTCTTTTTTTTCTTTCTTTCTCTTCCTCTTTCTTCCTTCCTCCATTCCCTTTGCACTTACACTTCCCATTCTCCTTCCAGCCCTCCTTCTTCCTTTCCTCCCTCCCTTCCTTTCCTACTGAGGAGTCTCTACGTGTTGTCAGAGACACCTCCACTTGGTCAACTCCCTGTGACCCCTGTTTCTCAGACTTGGAGGGAAATAAGGGCACGCAAATTGTGACCATGGAGGTGGGGCAAGGCTGCTAGGAAGAACAGGGAGTGTCTGAGGTAGTGATTCTCCTACCTCAGCCTCCCAAGTAGCTGGCATTACAGGTGTGTGCCACCACATGCAGCTAATTTTTGTATTTTTTTTCAGTAGAGATGGATTTTACCATGTTGGCCAGGCTGATCTCTTGAACTCCTGAGCTCAGTTGATCTGCCCACCTCAGCCTGCCACAGTGCTGGGATTATAGGCATAAGCCACTGTGCCCAGCCTAATTTTAAAATTTTTAACTTTTTTTTTTTTTAGACAGAGTTTTGCTTTTGTCACCCAGGCTGAAGTGCAGTGGCACTCGGCTCAGTGCAACCTCTGCCTCCCAAATTCAAGAATTCTCCTGCCTCAATCTCCACAGTAGCTGGAACTACTGCCTCCCAGATTCAAGAAATTCTCCTGCCTCAGTCTCTGCAGTAGCTGGAACTACAGGTATGTGCCACACCCAGCTAATTTTGGTATTTTTTAGTAGAGACAGGGTATTACAATGTGGCCAGGATGTTCTCAATCTCCTGATCTTGTGGTCCACCCATGTTGACCTCCCAAACTGCTGGCATTACAGGCGTGAGCAACCACACCTGGCCAAATTTTCTCTGTTTAATTGTCTTTAGAGATGAGCTCTTGCTCTGTCACCTAGGCTGGAGTGCAGTGGCTCAGTAATAGTTCACTGCAGCCTCAAACTCCTAGACTCAAATGATCTTCCCACCTCAGCTTTCTGAGTAGGTAAGACCGCAGGTGAGCACCACACCCTGCAAAGTTTCTACGTTTTTTTGTAGTAACGGGTTTTCACTATGTGGCACGGTCTGGTTGAACTCCCAGCCTCAAGTGATCCTACCATCTTGGCCTCCTGAAGTGCTGGAATTACAGGCTTGAGCCACCGTACCTGGCCTTGAGTACAGAATTTCCTTAGGGGGTGATGAAAATGCTCTAAAATCGGTGATGGGTGTGCACTAAAGTGTGAGTGATATCTCAGCAAAGTTGGTTTATTTAAAACAACAACAGGCTGCACGAAGCGGCTCATGCCTGTAATCCCAGCACTTTGGGAGGCCAAGGTGGGTGGATCATCTGAGGTCAGGAGCTTGAGACCAGCCTGGCCAACATAATGAACCCCTGTTTCTATTAAAAGTACGAAAAATTAGTAACTTGAATGAGGGGCAGGTATCCCACCTGCTCCAAGCAGCCCTTTATGAGCCCCAGCTTTTTCTGGGGTCCTCGAATGAAACCTCCCAAATCATACCCAAGTCATTCCCAACATGGGCCTCCTCCCCTTTTCTAGCCCCTGCTGGGAGATGCTGAGTGACAGAGGCTCAGGCTTTGGGTGTTCCTGTCAAAGCCTCACCCCAGGAGCCCCACAGGTCAGGCCCAGTCCATGGTTCACATGGCCCCATTTCATCCTCTTTTTCCTTTGAGAGCAATTTGTCCCTGAGAGATCCCTGGATCCCTCATTCAGGTGCAGTGCTGTAGGGCAACACTTCTTCCCGGGGTGACCCAGGCCTGCAGTGTCCCAGTGTCACTGGCAGGCCTTGACCTGGCCTCCACCTGAGTCCCTGCTCCTCCTCTCCCACAGGGAACATGACATCCTCTTCCCAGGGTATACCCACCTGCAGAGGGCCCAGCCCCATCACTGGAGCCACTGGATTCTGAGGTGAGCTGGGTGAGTTGCTGGGGCTGTACTGGATGGGAGGACCCTGGCTTCCCTGACTCTCCTGCCCCTGGCTTTCCACAACGGTGCACGGTGCTGACCCTAGACTCTGAGTGGCTGCTGGAGGTGCAAAAGCTGATTGCTGTCCTGCCCCTGGGGAGGTGGGTAAAACTCCAGTGCCCTAAGGGCCTGGTGAGGGTGGCTGCTGCATAGCCTAGGGATTCACACAGGAGCTGGGAAGGGCAGAAAGGGTTAGAAAATCAGGTTATCTGCTCAGAGGGGTCCCTGCATGGAGCCCAGGTCTTGCTAAGGTGGGGACATCCAAGCCAGTGAATGTGTCTGAGCAGGGCTGGCCTCCTCAGGCTCCTAGTGAGTCCAGCCCACTGCCCTCAGGCTGACATATGGGGACATGTGTCAGGAGAAAAGGGTTCTGCACCCAAGGTTACTTGCTGCCTGGGGATAAGTGTTCAGGAGACATGAGGGGACAAGTGTTGTGGACCCAAGGTGACTGGGCCAGGGAAGAGGTTGAGCTCCAGGTGGTTGCCCTGGCAACTAGGACTTCATTCTGTGTGTGTGTGTGTGTGTGTGTGTGTGTGTGTGTGTGTGTGTGTCTGTCTGTCAGGGTTGCCTGCCAGGAGCCCTGGTCACCATGAATCCCTGTCCCTGAAGCAGGGCCATTTTGGGCAATCGCCTGGGTATAGACAGCTGCTCTGAGCAGGTGAGATACCCTGTCCCTCCTCCCTAGGGAGAGTCACCCTCAGCACTCGCCAGGAGATGCAGACACACCAGAGGGCAGGAGCCTGTGGCCCCTGGTGAAACCATCATTCATTGCCTATGGGCACTGAGCTTATCTAGGCCAAGGGTCACCCATGGCACGGGCACCTGGTACTGAGAGACTCAGGGCTCCTACCTCCCTCCTGAGACTGGAAAAGATGCCTCCCCCAAGCTCCCACCCCACCCACCCTAATCCTCTTCCCTGATCCTTTTTCAAGGGGGAGGGGGCCAGGCAACCAGCTTAGGAGAGAGGAGGCCACACTCCCTGTTCTCCAGCCCAGCCCTGCTTCCTCCCAACCCCCAGAACTCAACTTTGGTGCCATCACTCTTAACAGCATGGATGCCACCAGTGAGCGTGACTTCATGGGTGAGTGTTGGGGAGCCAGTCCCCTGCCCTGTGCCTCACTTCTGTCCCGCAGCCCAGCTTCTCTCCAGTCTTCTCCTACTCCTGTATGGTCAGACTGATTGTACACTAAAGTGTAAACTTTAAATGAGTACATTGGGCAGGGCACGGTGGCTCACGCCTGTAATCCCAGCACTGGCCAACTTGGTGAAACCCCATTTCTACTAAGAATACAAAATTTAACCAGGTGTGATGGTGAGCACCTGTAGCTACTTGGAGAGCTGAGGCAGGAGAATCGCTTGAACCCAGGAGTCCAAGGCTGCAGTGAGCTGAGATCACACCAGTACACTTTAGCCTGGGCAACAAGAGTGAAACGTTATCTCAAAAATTAAAATAAAATAAAAATAAATAAATGGGTAGATTTTATGTGAACAATACCTCAGTAAAGCTGGTTTATCTTATTTTTTGTTTTGTTTTGCTCTGTTGCCAGACTTGAGTGCAATGGCACGATCTCAGCTCACTGCAACCTTCACCTCCTGGGTTCCACTAATTCTCCTGGCTCAGCCTCCCAAGTAGCTGGGATTACAGGTGCGTGCCACCACACCCAGGTAATATTTTTGTATTTTTAGTAGAGAAAGGGTTTCATGGTCAGGCTGGGTGAGTACCAGAGAGGCTTAGTGACTGGGAATCTTTTCTTTCTCTCAGCTGAGTTCCTGTTCTAGGCTTCATTCTGCATGACCCATCTCAGCAGGATGGCCAGGGACCTCATCCTCTGTGGCACCAAGGAATTCAGCTTCGTGTAGCTCTCAGATGCCTACAGGTAAGCCCTGAACTGCCACTTCCACCTGCCCCTCCCAGCCTCTGCATTCTCCACACCCCTTAGGCATGGCTTCCTTCCTCCCTGCCCTCTGCCAGACCTGGCCAGTGAGCTGCTGGACCAGACAAGGGCCTAGCCTTTTCAGTGCCTGCATCTTTGTCCACAGCACCAGAAGCAGCCTGATGCCCCAGAAGAAAAACCCCGACAGCTTGGAGCTGATCTGGAGCAAAGCAAGGGTGTGTGATTGGGCAGGTGAGCATGGCAGGGAGAAAGGAAGGTAGGATGTGAGATCCACAGCAGGGGCAGAATTCCTGGTCCAACCCCATGCCTCTCTTCTTGCAACATTCCGTGCTCCTGATGACCCTCAAGGAACTTGCCAGCACGTGCAACAAAGACCTACAGTTGTGAGGCTGGGGACAGTGGCTGTGGGAGGCCTGCCTGCCTACACACCATGTGCCAGTTCTCGGGGTTCTGGCATACCCAGGCAGGGACCCTCAAGATTGCCGTACCTACACCAATCCTGTGCACTCAGCCCCATCTGTGGCTGCTTTTGGAGCTCTCGGCCCTTCCTTTGGGTACTGAGTATTCTTCCCATGGAAGGCAGCAGGGATGCCTCAGTGTGGGGGGTGGCTGTGGGGACCCTGGGTGCCAAGAGGAACATCTTCTGCCATGTTCCTCCCAGGAGGACAGGAAAGCTTTGTTTGAAGTGTCAGACACCATGAGTGCTGTGCTTCAGGTGGCCACTGGCATCATCTCTACACTGCAGGCAAGACCACACCCACCTGCCTCTCCTCCCCTAGATCCCAGGCACTGGGGTGGGCTTGCCAGGAGAGTGGCCTTGGGGGGAGGCAAGGTGGGCGGAGGACCTGGACAGGGAAGGAGAGGTGTGCTGGCTCCTGTTCCTGGGGAACAGGGAAGGGACAGAAGCTGCTGCCATGCAATGGAAGTAAATGAGACTCAAGGGACCTGGGGCCTGTCAACTGACCCAACCAGAGCCCTTTTAAAAAAGAAAATTTATATAAAAGGTTGTCATGGTGGCTCACGCCTGGAATCTCACACTTTGGGAGGCTGAGGCAGGTGGAGCACTTGAGTTCAGGATTTTGAGACCAGCCTGGCCAACATGGTGTAATCATGTCTCTTAATAAAAATGCAAAAATTAGTTGGGTGTGGTGGTCCACACCTGTAATCCCAGCTATTTAGGAGGCTCAGGTAGGAAAATTGCTTGAACCTGGGAGATGTAGTGAGCCGAGATGATGCCACTGCATTACAGCCTGGATGACAGAGTGAAACTCCATCTTCAGATATGTAAATTAGTTAATTAAATATCTTTTAAAAATTATTTTTTAGAGACAGGGTCTCTTTTTGTCACCCAGGCAAGAGTGCAATGGCACAGTCATAGCTCACTGCAGCCTCAAACTCCTGGGCTCAAATGGTCCTCCCACTTTAGCCTCCAAAGTAGCTGGGACTACAGGTGTGCACCACCACACCTGGCTAATTTTTTGAATTTTTTGTAGAGACAGGGTCTTCCTGTATTGCCCAGGCTGGTCTCAAACTCCTGGCCCCAGGCCATCCTTCCACTTTCATCTCCCAAAGTGCAGGAATTATAGGCATGAGCCACTTTGCCTGGCTGATTTCTTTTAAAATAAGTTATTATGGGAATTTCTGTCTATAACAGCTAGAGAATGCATAATGAATCCTATGTACTGACTGACACCCAGCTTCAACAATAATCGACTCACGAATATTCTGGCTCCAGCTGTCTTTACACACTGCCCAACACTGTGGGTATTGGGTAATCCCAGCACTTTCAGAGGCCAAGGCAGGTAGATCACCTAAGGTCAGGAGTTTGAGGCCAGCCTGACCAACATGGTAAAGCCCCATCTCTACTAAAATGCAAAAAAATTATCTGGGCATGGTGGTGCATGCCTGTAGTCCCAGCTACTTGGGAGGATTGAATCATTTGAGAATCACTTGAACCTGGGAGGTGAAAGTTGCCGTGGGCCAAGATTGCACTATTGCACTCCAGCCTGGGCAATAAGAGCTAAACTCTGTCTTAATAATAATACTAAGGCTGGGCACAGTGTCTCATGCCTGTAATCCTAGCACTTTGGGAGGGCAAAGTCACACAGCTTGCGGTAGGACCTCCAGTCATTAAAGTTACCCGGTATAACAGAGACTACTGAGTTACTCACCGATGACCAGAAGTGAAATGTGGAGCCCAGACCTGCAAAAGGCTCGATGGCACTTAAAGAAAAAAGGGGGCGGGGCACGGTGGTTCGTGCCTATAATCCCAGCACTTTGGGAGGCCAAGGCGGGTGGATCATGAGGTCAAGAGATTGAGACCATCCTGGTCAACATGGTGAAACCCTGTCTCTACTAAAAATACAAAAAATTAGCTGGGCATGGTGGCACGTGCCTGTAGTCTCAGCTACTCAGGAGGCTGAGGCAGCAAAATTGCTTGAACCCAGAAGGTGGAGGTTGCAGTGAGCGGAGATCATGCCATTGCACTTCAGCCTGGGTAACAACAGGGAAACTCCGTCTCAAAAAAAAAGAAAAGAAAAAGAAAAAAGAGGGATAGCATATGCTATAGACTGAATGTCTGCCTCAAAGTTCATGTTGAATCCTAATCCCCAATGTAATGGTATCAGAGGTGAGGACTTTGTGAGGTGATTGCAGCTATTGAGGGAGGAGTCCTCATTAATCGGATTCATGCCTGGTAAAAGAGGCCCTGGAGTGCTCTGTTACATCTTCTACCACCTGAGAACACAGCAAACAGGCACCATGTAGGAATCAGGGCTTCCCCAGACAACAAACCTTCTCCTTCCTCCACCCTGACCTTGGGCTTTCAGCCTTCACAAATGTGAGAAATAAATTTCTGTGGTTTATAAGCCACCCAGTCTATGGTATTCTGTTATATCAGCCCAAACAGACTAGGATAGTACAGTAGCTTTCGAGGGCAACTGGAACAAGGGGAAGGAGGACTGACTTTATTTGTTAAAGATGTCAGCAACTGGCCGGGTATGGTGACTCATGCCTATAATCCCAGCACTTTGAAAAGCCAAGGGGAGCAGATCACCTGAGGTCAGGAGTTGAGACCACCCTGACCAACATGGTGACAACAAAAAAATTAGCTGGTTGTGGTTGTGCACACCTGTAATCCTGGGCACTCGGGAGGCTGTGGTAGGAGAATCACTTGAACCTGGGAGGTGGAGGTTGAAGTGAGTGGAGGTTGTTGCAGTGAGGCGAGATCGTGTTCACTGCACTCCAACCTGGGTGATAGTGACTCCATCTCAAAATAAAAAAGATGTCAGCAACTTAAGTATTTTTAACGGCTGGGCAGAGGGGACCAATGAAAAAGAGTAGGACATCGTGATCTGAGGGGAGGGTTTGGCTCAGGAAGGAGGAAGTACACCTCTTCCTTGGATACTGGAAGGGAAGGTGTTGCTGATGAAAACTCCAAAGGAAGAAAAGGTCCATGGAGGATGCTTCATCACTGGGTTTAAGTTTTTTAACAAAATTGGTGAGGAAGACATCTGCACAGAATCTAAAAAATAATGAATGCAGCCATGGTACCTTAGGGCGCTGGAAAAGGCAATGCACCTGACCTCTGGGGAAGCTGATCTGACAGGTACGCGGGACGTCTTGGTGTGGGGAATCTGTGTGGAGATGCGTCTGGAGACAGTGAGTCTTACTTCCTGACCTTATAACCATGCAGCTCAGCAGTCTCTGCGAGAGTCAGCTCCCTGCAATTTGCATTCCAGGTACTGCTTTCAGGCGTTAAGACTTGTACAATGGGGAGGGTAAAAGAAATACATTTTAATTTGTAAGAAAATGAAGCATTCAAAAATACAATTACCTGCTCTATCCAGGGTATATTTGCTTTCCAGCCTATCTTAGCAGTTACAGAGGATAACTACTAAGTACACTTGGCTCGTTCATTTGAACATCATGTGAGCACAATTGACAACCCATCTTAAAAAAAATCTTGAGAAAATATTTAATTTCTTGACTAAATTTAGCTTTCAGAAGGGATGAGTGATTCTGTTGATGGTGATTGAGACGGTTAATATGTAGATGTTTTCTTCTTGGTATGTGAGAGACATGTTTGTTTTAGTGGGAGCAGCAGGTGTGTATAGAAGGAGACCTGGAGTCCCAGGCCACCACACTACTTGGGCTGGTAACATGTATTTTTCAAGTTCTGCTCCACCAGGCTGAGTACCATGTGTTGATAACTGACATCTGTGCTTCTATCAAATTAAACCTGAAGTGCCTTTCTCTTTTCATTTCAAATAACTTTGCTCTTTCTTTGCTTATGCCATTTAAAGTGAGATTTGTACCAAAGTGTTAAAATGTATTTAGTGTATTCCTTAATAACATGAATGTATACATTACAATCTTTGATTTAATCATATCGTGAGTCTTTAGTAGCAGTGTACTCTTGCACTGGAAATCTTTCAGCTATCTTTAATCTTTATCAAGTTTTTAGTTTATTAGTCTGTTTAATCTTTTTTTTTTTAATTTTTTATTGCATTTTAGGTTTGGGGGTACATGTGCAGAACATGCAAAACAGTTGCATAGGTACACACATGGCAGTGTGTTTTGCTTTCTTTCTCCCCTTCACCCACATTTGGCATTTCTCCCCAGGCTATCCCTCCCCACCTCCCCCTCCCACTGGCCCTCCCCTTTTCCCCCCAATAGACCCCAGTGTTTAGTACTCTTCTCTCTGTGTCCATGCATTCTCATTTTTCATCACCCACTTATGAGTGAGAATATCCAGTGTTTCATTTTCTGTTCTTGTGTCAGTTTGCTGAGGATGATGTTCTCCAGATTCATCCATGTCCCTACAAATGACACAAACTCATCATTTCTGATTGCTGCATAATATTCCATGGTGTATATGTGCCACATTTTTCCAATCCAGTCTATCATCAATGGGCATTTGGGTTGATTCCAAGTCTTTGCTATTGTAAACAGTGCTGCAATGAACATTCGTGTACATGTGTCCTTATAGTAGAACGACTTATAGCCTTTTGGATATATACCCAGTAATGGGATTGCTGGGTCCAATGGAGTTTCTATGTCTAAGGCCTTGAGGAATCGCCACACTGTCTTCCACAATGGTTGAACTAATTTACACTCCCACCAACAGTGTAAAAGTGTTCCTTTTTCTCCACATCCTCTCCAGCATCTATTGTCTCCAGATTTTTTAATGATCGCCATTCTAACTGGCATGAGATGGTATCTCAATGTGG